TTAATATGCTGAGCTAAATTTTTGTTTAATCTATAGCTGTATCTCTGTCTTGTGTAGAGTTTTATTTTAAATGAAACCAGAGCAATACACAGAGGTTGTCAGGAAGATGGACGTAACTATGAAGTGTTGGTGAGAATATACTGTATACAAACATGGGCTGCTGAAATAATTAAGACACATGCACAAAAACTTTAAATAAGTCTACGGTGTTTTGTTCATCTTAGCTGGCCACAAGGCTAAACCACCTCTTTTCCCCAGCAAGGATACAATAGCCATATTGTAACCACTGTAACTGCTTTTTAAGTGTTTGTAACTGATATGAATTTACCGCTAGGGGGTCTTTATTTCATCTCATAGAAGAGAACGTTAATCTTCACTGACACTAGTTTTAATGTTTGACAGCATGCTGAATGTGCTCTATTGTTGTCTAACTTTAACCTAACATTGCACGCGTAGTTTATAAGTGACCAGAGTAAGTTACATTTTTGTAAAGGGATGGAAACTTACTCTTGCTCGTGAGTGAGCTCTAGAGGCGGAGCTTCGCTGAAACGAAACCCGCACGAGCGAGTAATAGCCGCTCATGTCAAGAGCAGGTGAAGCAGAAAGTCGCGATCGACGATGTGCAACAGTAACAGTACGTGTTGATTATCAGTGCATTTAAAAAAGAAGCTGTTTATCTGATTTGACCTAATGACGAGTTGACAGGAAAGGGGTGATCGGGTTATGGGTAAGTAACTACCGATCTGTTCCAGACACGTTAACCTGAAACAAATGCATTTTCAAACGGATTATATTTTGCTTGCTTTATTTTACACTACTTTAGGGTCGTGTATTATATGAAATTTAGGCTGCTCATGTCACACTGGTTTGTCTAAAATACTTTAGTGTTTCATTGCAGCACCTCTCTCTACTGGCAGTGTTTTTGCGGTAGGCTACATATCCGGAAATCCTAACATATTTGGTGTGCAAGATCAAGTCGAGCGGTTCGCGTTTGTATTGCTAGTTATACGCCATGAATTCATGACTAAATCGCGTCTCTGTCACTGTTATGAAACAGTGTGCAATATCAACAATGCAAGATGACGAGACACAAAAACAAGATGGTTTTTCTACGTCACTATACAACAAGACTTCGCTTATGTTATATGCTGTCACTTTACTTAATTAATATTTATAAGCCATACAGTCACCATGGATTTGCATTGGACATTTTTATGTGTGACCATTTTTAAATTACCCTATAATAATTGTCATAAATCCAGAGATCAAGACCCGTTGACCGATATTTAAAACTGAAATTGAATATCAAGCTATGAAAAAATATTTAAAATAATTTAAAAATATACACTAAACAAAATTATAAACGCAACACTTTTGTGTGAACAATATTTGAGAGAAATAGGCCTTTTGTGTACATAGAAAAAGTCTTAGATCTTTGAGTTCAGCTCATGAAAAATGGGGGCAAAAACAAAAGTGTTGCGTTTATAATTTTGTTCAGTGTAGTTTTGAAATATATATTTTCCGTAATGTTTCTCATCATAAATGTTCAAGAGCACAAATTAATATCTGGCAATATTTCATAAGTCTTCAAATTTTATAGTACATTATAAACACCTGTAAAAACATGAATGTAAACACATACGTTATGTAATGATGTGTTGCATGGACAGGACATTCATATCTATGGGACGGGAGAAGTCTGTGTTAGGTCTGTGTAAGTCTGCGATAGGCAGAGGAGATTGATAGAGAGGGCAAAAGGTAGGTGTATCTTGCTAGATTTTCTTTAGCAGCTATGTTTGCTGTAACTTTTTATTGTGCATATTTACTGCTCCGGGTGTGTGTTCGTGTTCACTGCTGTGTGTGTGCACTTTGGATGGGTTAAATGCAGAGCACTAATTCCGAGTATGGGTCACCATACTTGGCCACATGTCACGTCACTTTTTTTAAAATTTTATGTTCATTTAGTTGCACATTCAACATTTAAAATCGAATGTTCTTGTTTGGTTGTTGACGGTGTAAACCAGGGTTCCTCAATTAGTTGAATATTCAGATATCCAATAGATGAATATTTAAAAAAAATCCCAGTAGTCTGTTTTATTCAAACAATTATGAAAATTTTTGAATTTAGATACAGGATAATTTTGCCTGTTGAATATTAAAAACAAATGAACAAACAAAAAATCTGGATCTCCATGTCTGCCATGCAAATCAACTGTTCCTGCTCATTCCCAGACTGGATATCTTCTCTCCACTTTCCCTAATTGCAGATTCAATTATTAGATTTGTCCGTATTAATATTTTTATGTTTAGATTTTTTTGGGGTAGGATCAAACTGTAACACCGTACGTCCCAACCAGACACGACGCGATAAAAAGTATCTTTTCCTTGTAGTTTTTGTCCTAACCACCCGCGACAGCGACATGTGACAATAATCGACACGGAATTCTATTTTAGGAACGGTTTTTATTTTCTGCAACGTCGCAGCAGGAACAACATACAAAATATGACAGCGATAATATCAGGTAATGATTATGTGCTTTATTCAATGTTAAAAGTGTCTAATATGAGTTTAAATATTATTTTGCGTTATCTTTATAGCCATAGTGAAAGCGACAATAGATATTTTACCTCAGATCTTGAAAATAAATTAAAGCAAAATTGTACGTTAAAACAGTGAACTCACTGCGAACCAACACGTGTATTCCATAACAAAGATATCAGTCAGTGTCAGTACGTTATAAATAGAACGAGTCAGCAGTTTACTCTCGGGGATTTGTCGTGTCGCGCCGCTTCCAAGATAGCATCACTGATTATAACGAGTTCTTGTATTTTATTGCATCGCGCCGCGCCACGCCACTCGCGTCTGGTGTAGACACGATGTACTTTAATGTAGCTTTCTGATGCTGCGTTTGAATTTTCATGCCACATTATTTGAAATTAGCGCGGGCCAAAGTTTTTTTTCTCGCGGGCCGCCTATTGAGAAACCCTGGTGTAAACTAAACATTTTAGTAGTTTTATTGAAACATGCTAATAAAAATCTGTTAATATTAAATTAAAAATATATTTTTTTAAAGTAAAAATTATGTATAATTTACATACATATACAAACATAAAAATGCATAAAGTGTATTTAGTGGAGGAAATTATATTTAGGGCAATTTGTATTATTATTATTATTATTATTATTATTTTGTAAAATATAATTTTATAAGTAATACTTATTTGGGGAAAGGAGCATTCACAGAGTTCCCTACATGAACAATTATAATTTGTCTGATGGTCTCCATCTTTCACAGTATAACATGTAGAAACATGTTATGGCACACATACCACAAAGTCTAGATATAAAATTCAAGACTCTATCCATCAGCAAGTGGCTAGGTCAACAGTATGCTTATATATCAAAATGTAACATGAAAGTGTATTCATTGATATGTTTTACTGTATAATTCTAGTATAGTTTTATAATAATAAAGATGTGCTTTTGAGCCGGTAGCTGTATTTTAATAGAACTTAAACATATATTATGCATTTTTCATGTAAAGTATTCATTACAGTTTTTTGGAGGCTTGTCATGTTACATCTATATTTAATCCGAATTTATCCGGTTTTGTGATATTCTTCTCTATCTGCAGGTATTGATTTGTGGAATACTTTTCTTTACCAATAGAGTTTAGAATTTGGTTATGGAGGTGTTTAGGTTACCATTAAATGTGTAATTAATTTAATGTAAATATGTAGGTTTTCTAATTTGTTAGAGACTAAAACACAGCTGTCTGTGCATGAAAACACTGTTAAGGGTTAGTGTATGGGTTTGGTTTAAGAATATACATATGTGCTGCCTGACAAAATGTGGTTTTAACACATTTATTACAATGATAGCTTTTTTATGCACTGCAAATGTTTTAATGCATTTTGTTGGTAGTACATCCTGTTTATACTGACGTTTTAATGTTAAAGTTTGCTCATTCTGAGAAAAAAACAAAACATTTTGTTGATGTCCCAGCCGTCATCCGAACCTGAGCGATAAGCTTTTAATTGGGTCAAATTGTCAAACCATTGGTAATGACTGTTCAGAGTCCACCTCATGATCAACTCACGATCAACGTTTTGTTACAGGACTAAATTAAAAGACTTTACTTCTTCAAAATAACCTACTGGTATGTGTGTGTGTGCTAGAGAAAATTAAAGCTGGATAAGAACAGACACCTGACTGTTAAATGAGTATAAATCATCTTAGTTTTAGAATTTAAACTGGTAGGTGTTTATCAGCACTGTGAAGCATAGTGAACAGATGTGTTTATTTTCAAGGTAATGTTAAAGAGATCATGAACAGTATGATAGAGGCCAGTTATTTGTCAAGAAACAGAGCCTTATGTAGTAGATGGGGTAAAAAGAAAACTAGAAGTAACCTAATTACTTTTATTGTTTGGTTGAAGATGTTTTAATGCTGTCTATGACACGCTTAAAGGTTATGGTCATGTAACTTGCACTCTTCTCTTGAAGGAATAGTTCACCCAAAAATTTAAATTGACTTACGCTTTGGCCATCCAAGATGTAGATGAGTTTGTTTCTTCATCAGAAAAGATTTAGAGAAGTGTATCAATACATCACTTGTCCAAACTGATAAAAACATCACAATAATCCACAAGCAATTCATACAACTCCAGTCCATTAATTAATGTCTTGTGAAGTGAAAAGCTGCGTGTTTGTAAGAAACAAATCTTTCATTCAGGCATTTTAACTACGAGTCCAGTGAAAAAATCGTCTTGTCTGAATCAGGAGAGAAATATGCACAGATCAAGCACCGTTGTGAGAGGATAACGGGATGGACTTTTTCACTGAAGGAAGCGTTATTATGGATTATGGACTGGTATTTTGGTAGTACCAGTTTAAAGATTAAAAATGCCTTAATGATGGATTTGTTTCTTACAAATATACAGCTTTTACTTCACAATATGTAAATTGATGAACTGGAGTCGTGTGGATTATTTGTGGATTATCGTGATGCGTTAATCAGCTATTTGGACTCTCATTTTGACGGCACCCATTCACTGCAGAGGAACCACTGGTGAACAAGTGATGTAATGCTAAATTTCTCCAAATCTGTTCCCATTATGAAACAAACTCATCTACATTTTGCATGGCCTGAGGGTGAGTCAGTTTTAATTTTTGAGTGAACTATTCCTTTAATCTGTCTCTTCAGTGCAATGATGGAAAAGCCCCAAAAGACACAGGAAGAGCAGCAGTCGTCCCCACAGATGGCGGCACCTGATGGGGGTTGGGGCTGGGTGGTGGTGGGGTCTTTTTTCGTGTCTTCTGCCCTGGTGTTCGGGCTCATCCGCTGTCTGGGTGTCTTTTTTGTGGAGTTTGTGCAGTACTTTGGTGAGAGTGCCCAGGCAGTGTCCTGGATAACATCCATTGGCTTGGCCATGCAACAGCTAATGAGTAAGTTTACTCATTCATTTGTTCTTGTCTATATCAACAAACACAGTATAGTAAAACAACACACTTTGGCTTTCAGCATTCAGTTGATTATATATGCTTGCCTGCAGGTCCAATAGGTGCAGCTGCATCTAATGTGTATGGAACTCGTCCAGTAGTTATGATGGGAGGATTCCTTTCAGGTCTGGGATTCATTCTGGCTTCCCAGGCAACGTCTCTTTTACATCTTTACCTGACCATGGGATTAATTTCAGGTAGATGCTCTTGTAAAGAGTGTCTTTAATACTAACCAATGTCAGGATCCTGATTCGTGTTTTTACTCTCTATGTTTATTTCTGTCAGGTTTAGGCTGGGCGCTGGTCTTCACCCCTACAGTTGCATCAGTAATGCAGTACTTTACCGTGCGGAGATCTCTAGCCATGGGCCTGGGCTTCACAGGCGTCGGTCTTGCCTCTTTCGCCTTCTCCCCACTTTTTCAGTATCTAGTAGAGGTCTATGCTTGGCGTGGAGCTTTGCTTGTCCTCGGAGGCCTCAGCTTCAACATGATTGCTTGTGGAGCTCTCATTCGGCCTCTATTGAAACCAAAGGTTGTGTTGAAGGTATGTGTTTTTATATTACTGAATACATTAATGAAATTTTCTATACATACATACCATTTAGAAGTTGGGTCAGTAAGATTTTTTAAATAGAAAATAATACTTTTATTCAGCATGGGTGCATTCAATTGATCATAAGTTGCCAGAAATTACATTTATAATGTTACAAAAGATTTCTATTTCAAATAAATGCTGTTCTGAATTTACAGTTCATCAAAGAATTCTGAAAAAAATATTTCCACAAAAATATTAAGCAGAACAACTGTTTAACAACTAGGATGCAGAATTTTGCGATGGAAAAAAAGTGACAGCAAAAAAAATTATATAATGTTACAAAATATTTCTCTTTCACATAAATCTTTCTATTCATCAAAGAATGCTTAAAACATGGTTTGCACAAAAATATTAGCCAGCACAACTGAAAATTCAATTTTGCCATCACAGGAATTAATTACATTTTAAAATTGATTTAAATAGTAAAATGTTATTTTTAATTATTATAACAGTTCACAATGTCACTGATTTGGCTGTATTTTTAATTTAAAAAAATGCAGCTTTAATGAGCATAAGAGACTTCTTTCAAAAACATTTAAAAAATCTTATGGACCACAAACATTTCAATGGTGGAGTATATATTTTCTTTTTTAATAATTAATTAATTTAACAATTAGTGATTAATAAATATTCTAATTATGCAATTAAATATATTTTTAATCAAAAAAATTGTTTTATAGTGATTGTTCTGCAGTTTAACATGTTTGAGGCTTAATTACTCTATTGGCTTGTTTCTTTTTGTGCCCTTCTCAGACTGAAAACTTGACCAAGCTCAACAAATGTTCTTCTTTATTGTCCCGTATCTTCGAGAGCTTTGAGCTCTCCCTGCTTTCACACAGAGGCTTCCTCACTTATGCCGTGGCCATCACCTTCTTCAATGCCGGCTACTTCATCCCTTACATTCATCTGGTCGCCCACAGCCGTCACATTGGTTTCACTGAGTACCAGGCAGCCTTTGTAATCTCTGTAACCGGTGTGGTAGACATCATGGGTCGCGTAGCCTCCGGCTGGTTCTCAGACTTGGGTAAAATACGGATGCCGCACATGCTGGTGGTGTGGACTGGGTTACTGGGGCTCTCACTGATGCTCATTCCTGTTGCTGTGGTTTACTCAGGACTTATTGTTATTAGTGTGGTCTATGGGTTTTGCGCAGGAGCGATGACACCGCTGGCCTTCGCGGTGGTACCGGAGATCGTAGGCATAGGTCGAGTGCTGGGAGCCCTTGGCCTGCTGCAGTTCATAGAGAGTGTTGGAGGGCTGCTGGGAGCACCACTGTCTGGTAGGAGCTCATGAGATCATCACAGTAGTTTTATTTAAAGGAAAAGTTCACCCAAAAATTTAAATTTGCTGACAATTTAATCACCCTCGGGCCATCCAAGATGTACATGATTTTGTTTTTTCATCAGAACAGATTTTGAGAAGTTTAACATTACATCATTTACTCACCAATGAATCCTCTGCAGTGAATGGGTGCCATCAGAATGAGAGTCCAAACAGCTGATAAAAACATCACAATAATCCACATGAATCCAGATGTCTTGTGAAGTGAAAAGCTGTGTGTTTGTATGAAACAAACTGTTGCTTCCGGCTAAAATATGAGTCCTCTATCCATAATATTGCTTTCTCCAGTGAAAAAATCATCTTGTTTGAATCAGGAGAGAAATATGCACAGATCAAGCACTGTTACAAGCAAAAACAGTTCTAAACAAATATGTTGGTGGATTTTGATGTGAGTGGACAACAAGGGATGACATTTCTGGAGGAAGCGTTGTAATGGATTTTGGACTCATATTTTAGCCAGAAACGACGCTTTAATGTTAAAATGCCTTAAAGATGGAGTTGTTACGAACACACAGCTTTTCACTTCACAAGATGTTAACTGATGGACTGGAGTGGTGTGGATTACTTGAGGATCATTGTGATGTTTTATCAGCTGTTTGAACTTGCATTTTGACGGCACCCATTCACTGCAGAGGATCCATTGGTGAGCAAGTGATATAATGCTAAATTCCTCCAAATCTGTTCCCATGAAGAACAAACTCATCTACGTCTTGCATGGCCTCAGGATGAGTAAATTTTCTGCAAATATTCATTTTTGGTGGAACTATTCCTTTAAAAGGCCGACATTCAATTGATTCAGATCTTTAGGTTCACAGTCAGCAATGAAATGATTGTTCCATCTCCATTTTTTCCTCCCAGGCTGGCTGAAGGACTGTACTGGGACATACACATTATCTCTTATTGCTGCTGGAAGTTTCCTAGTGTTAGGTATGTTAGTTACAATGACTCTTCCCTATTTCTGGTCTTGTACGGCCCCTCCACCCCCATCACCTTCAAAGAGGAAGTCTCAGGATGGCTCCATTGAAGATGGACTACTCAAACAAACTCTATCCTCAAATTCTGTACCTGAGAGCCTGTGCCCTTTGGATGATACACCCTACTCGGATAAGGAGTTAAAGGTCTGTTGGAAGAGTGATGTTACATGTCTAGTGCAAGAACGAAATGAAATACCACAGGAAATGATGCACCATACTAATTCAGGGGAAATATTATGATTGTGTGATGTTAGAAAATAATTAGTGGTGGTCATAGTAGTAGTTTTTAGAAGGATATAGACGAGATATAGGCATCTATTGGCATTGGAATCACAAATCATGTTGCACTTTTGGTTTTATACCGCATTTTGCAGTAAAACTTTTAGTGGGTAATTTCATAAGAATAAGTTCAATCCGATGGAAATTTCCAGTTAGCCTACCTTGTGTAACGTTCAAAACAAATGTGGATTATTTAATCATTCCTTATATAAATGCAAGGAGACACACGTTTTTGGACATGCACCATGAAATTAGTGCAATTCAAAAGTTGTATAATAGGTCAATAGCAGCATAAATCTTTATCATGATGTAAATGCAATAACGTAATCAAGTTATCATTTATCAAGACCAGCTTTTCTTTTTGATTACATCATAATGACAATACAGTTGCCACAGTCAGACACCACAGCAGCAGCTATATAGTGTTATTTTAGTATCACTTAATTATAGTTTTTATTAATATTTTGAATTAGTTTTTTATATTTTCAGTATTTACAGTATTATTTGTCAATTTGTAAATTCTCATTCTAAAAAAGCCATTATTCTGGGCACAGTTCATTTCCAATCTTTATAGTTATACAGATAATTTAAGAGATACTTTATAAATAGCTCAAGTATTTTTCTGTTCTGAAATCAGTATTTTTTTTATTTAATAATATATTTCATTTAATTAAATTATTTTTACTTTATATGTACATTTTCAAATATTTTGTCAATTCAGAATCGCCACCAAATAAGGATTTTTGCTGATATTGTCCAAATACCCCACTTTGACTTGGCCATTTCTGAATTTATGGAGGGCGCTGTATATCAAATATCATGGTATTATTATCTGACACCAACACTGTACCATGGTATTGCCATATTACTATTTCTGAGTATGCTGGCAAAATACTATTTATTTTTATTGTATTATTAAAAATTTTTATTGTAAATTATTGTGACATACTTGACCTCTGGCATTCTCTAACAGGAAGCTAATTATGATGCACAAATACAGCTTCAGGGTTTGGTGGAATGACTGATGCTTGTGGTTTTTGTTAATCACAGTTACTGAGGAGCATTTTGTATTCATGGCTAGTAAAACATGAGGCTTTTATGAGACTCCACACAAGCTTTTAACTGCTTAGTCAGCAGACTCAGCACATGCCTAACATGCTGTCACATCAAGCAAAAGCTAAGATAAAGGCAGTGCATTTTCTATAGCCATTAAGTTTGGTGCTGGAGGCTACTTCAGTACAGTATTCAAAAGCAGGAAAGCAAGCTAAATGCTAACGTTGCAGCAGTGCTAATCCTGTTCTGCTCCTCATGTAGAGCATTAATGTGCCTTACCTTGATTACAGCTGGACTGTTCTTGAGTTGCATATGGAGGAATATGATGATCACAAGATGTTCTTTCTGATACTAGCATTGTCGGAGACATGACATTTTGATGTTGTCCTTTCAGGGTTGAATTGGACCATGTGATTTGTGTATTTCATTGATGCTTTTTAAGTATTGTATGATGGAAATCTTGCACATTGTCAAGGGTTTTCACTGTGATTTTCAAGCTCCAGGTTTCAGAGTGAATATTGATTTACATTTTCCACAGAGGTCGCTGACAAACAAAATTGACTTATGAATCATTGACCAAAGTGTCACACACTAAAGTCTTTGTTACACATTACATTCTTCAACACTTTTTTGTTTTTGTTTTAAATTTTTATTTTTATTAATGCAAGAGCTTTACTGTGCATTAACTAGTATATAACCTTGTAAATTCTCTTACTTCCCTTGGAAAAACCTTGAATACTAGTCAATAATGCTGTTTTAAAGATGCACTTCTCATAAAACCAAACACGTGAGCCTTAATCTCCATAGACTTGAGAGTCAATGAGCTCAGCTACAGACTTTGCTTTCTCATGTGAGAGGCCCTTATTGCTTTGAGATTGACAGCACTGCCTTTTCACACAGTTGTCTTCAAATGCACTGTATTAATGCAATTAAACATGCTCTTTAGCCTATTGACCTCAGTATGCTTGCAAGAAGTGAAGACTTGGATGAATTTGGATCAGTTTAGTAGTATTCTAAACTATACTGCAGTGCAAGTCTATTAGCTTTGGAGTGCCAAAGCAGGCAATGACTCTTAACAACATTTCATCATCTGGTTCTTTGAACTTAGTAGCTTTAGAACTACACTGCGCAAGTTGACTTTTGATCTGATTTAAAGGTTGAATGGAATTTGCCATCTGAGCCAGTCGGGTAGTTTTACCTTTTACCAGGTTACCAGCCCATATCATGTGCGTTGTTGTAATTTTCCAAGAAGCGCACAGCATGGCAAGACGGGTTTTAATAGAACAGTACAGTACAAATCTGTGTTTTGGTAGACAGATTTGTCTTTTAATGTGGTTAAATACAAGGCTGTTTCTGTTTTTATTGTACTATTGTTTTCTTGCTATATTTTATATATGATATTTTTTATTTTTATTGACAAACTTCTTAGGTTCTAATATTCTAATCTTTTTTTTTTTTTTTGAAGAATTATGGTATGAAACATCATTTAAACTAAGATATCATGACAGAAGTACAAGTAAGAACATGGAACTGAGCTGGATATATTAAAATTATGTACAGATAACTGATACATTCATGTGTGAAGTCAGAGTCCTGGTCCAATCAAACGTTTGGGGTTTGTAAGATTTTTTAAATGTTTTTGAAAGAAGTCTCTTCTGTTCACCAAAGCTAATACTGTGAAATATTATTACAATTACAATTTTGCTATTTTAATATATATTAAAATGTATTTTATTCCTGTGATGCTAAGCTGAATTGTCAGCATCATTACTCTAGTCTTCAGTGTCTCATGATCCTTCAGAAATCATTCTAATATGCCGAGTTGCTGCTTAAGAAACATTTCATATTATTGTCAATGTCGAAAACTGCTTTTGTGGAAACCGTGATAATATTGTTTCAGAATTATTTGATTAATAGAAAGTTTAAAAGAATAGCATTTATTTAAAATATAAATATTTTGTAACATCATACACGTCTTCACTGCCCCTATTTAAACAATTGAATATTGCGGAAAAAAATCTTACAGACCCTGAACTTTTGAATGGTAGTAACAGTAGTTCAAGTGGTAAAGGTTTTACTGCAAAATTCTCAGAAAATGCAAGTCACGTAAGTCATGAATTATTTATTTAGCAACACATTATGCCGTTTTCGCGGTTATTCATTTCTATATGTTGCTTAAAACATTGCATGCTCACAAAACACATCGATTAACCATTTTCAAACGTGTTTTTTTTGGTCTTGTTAAAAGAGAAATAAAAATTATACAGGAGAACCAAGCAAACAGTGATCTCTCACCCAAAGTAACAAGTATTCAAGTTGCATTAACACTGTGGCTCACAACGTTGTGAATAAAAAGAAGAAAAGCAACTTGAGGAAAAATCCATTGCCATCTAAATGAGAAACATAGAAGCATCCACTCCACAACTGCAGTCTGGCTTGATGTCTTGCTTTCATACCATTTGGAATGTAAACCTGCTAAAATGATAATTATTCAGCTACAGGTGGTCAATGAAAAGAACTGACAGGAAACACCAAAATGACTGATGACATCCTAAAGCCTAAACTGGGATAAATATGCTAAAACCCAGAGGTTTAGACCCACACTCATGTACGGCAGAAAAACCAAATGAAGCAGCATTTCATAAGAGGTGTTTACTGTGTGTGCCGTTTCAGCAAAACAAAGAAAAGCAATAGTAACTTCATTTTGTCTACTGGAGGTTGTGTGTAAGAGAGAGTGTGTGTGTGTGTAACATTGACATCTAGTGGTCATGTGGTTCATTTAATGTCAGCGCTACGCCGCTTAAGCTTCTCTGGATTGTTGGAGGCCATTTGGGAGAAATCCCTGAAAATATCATGATAGGTATCATCACCTGCAGGAGGAAAGAAATACAGAGAGAGAAAAAATGATTAGCTGAATATTGTCTTGGGAATAAGCAGCACAAATTTAAACAATCTGAAAAATATCAGGGTTTTTTTGTTGTTCTTTTGAATCCTTTACATATTTGTTGCATGGTTCTCTGTGCACATGATCTCACAGAACATTACATTTTACTTCCAAAACAAACAAGACTGAGTATGTACTACAATCATATACTGTATGAGGGTGTAAATTATATCCCTGTGTGTGTGAAATGATCGAAACCTGGAGTCTAAAGAGTTTAACAAGGTCTAAAAAGATGTTTGAATCAGCCTGACGAGAACACCATCACCCAGAGGAAGAGCTTTGATTTGGATTTGTAACTGTACATAAGTGCAGCGGTTATGCATACATAAAGGCGTACGGTAGCAGTGGATTACCTGTAGCACGCAGTGCAGAGGACACACACTGCAAGCAGTAGACACCTGGCCACCCGTCTCAGGACATGCACATATACACACACACACGCGCGCGCGCGCGCTCAAACAGCAAAAACAGATTTGTATACAGAGACACAGATGGACAAACTGCCATAAACAAGATGCAAAAAGCAACAGATGCAAAAAGCATAAGCACCACAAGATAGCACACCTGTAAACATCTGGCACTGCAATAAGAATATCAGATTCAGAGTAACAGAGGAAAGCCAAATATTAGATTAAAAGTGATCGCAACAAATGATCACCAGGGACTGAACTTTTGACTTCAATATATTTATGATAGTTAATTGTACAGAGACACAGATGGACAAACTGCCATACACAAGATGCAAAAAGCAACAGATGCAAAAAGCATAAGCACCACAAGATAGCACACCTGTAAACATCTGGCACTGCAATAAGAGTATCAGATTCAGAGTAACAGAGGAAAGCCAAATATTAAAATAAAAAGTGATCGCAACAAATGATCACCAGGGACTGAACTTTTGACTTCAATATATTTATGATAGTTAATTGTACACATGTTGGTTGAATGGTGATGATACTCCATACAATGTCAAATATCCATGCCCATCCCATAACAGCTGAATCTTTTGCATTTTCTGAAGGAAATACTAGTGCTTGCAAGGTAGCAGTTTTATGTTTGTTGGTATGATTAGATAAATGATTAGACAATTAGAGGAAGAGACAGAAAGAAAGAAGGAATAAAAGACAGATAGATAGATAGAAAGATATTTTACAATTTTACAGTGACATTGCAGTTAATTTAAACTTCAACACTGTGTTAATGTAAGTCAATGGGAGCTTTTCTAAATCAGGTTATATACAAAAAGTGGGGTCTACAGTACATGTTAAACAGTTCAAGTTGAATTATGTAATTGCAGCAAACTGTAAAGAAAAATGAAAAGAAGAAGAGAAATTTCAACATGCTGATTTCTTGCAAGCACTGTAATGCACGGCTGTGGAGTTATCCTTTATCTTAAAGTTTTAATGCCTGATCAGGTCTCTCTGAACATTAAATAAATCAAATTTAGCTTGTTAATGGAGTAGTATTCAGATTTTTCAATCATCTGAAGCTTATGACAGACAAAGAGAAAACACTCTACATTCCACTTGAGGCGTTTCTAATAGCTGAATGAACACCAGCCATACAAACAAGATCAGATTTGTGTAAATGCAAAATGTCACAGAATATTACTCATGCAAATCCATACTCCGTACAAACTGTAC